CAATATCTTGTAGAATGAAGGAATATTTGATCCCTTATCTAAAGGACGTGTTACTGATAAGATTAGAGTTCGACAACGGGTTTTGAAAGCTACGATTGCTAATCAGATTCTGAAGTCATACTTGCAATAATAGCTGTTAGACTTATCCAAGTGGGAGATTGTTGGATTAGGTGTCTAAGCCCATAACTATATTTGGTATGTATTTGATTTGATTATGAGCATGGTCCTTTTGGGTTGCCTTCACTCATGCAACTTGATAGGATGACTAGTGGAGAGAGAGAGAGAGAGAGAGAGTAAGATTTATTATATGAATAATAAATTGGTACTCAGAATGTTTTTATTATATATATTATAAGATAAATATATTATATAGAAATCATATTATTAATTAGTAATTAATCATAAATTAATTTGATATTAATTTTGGGATTAAAAGAACTGATTAATAATTGAGGGACTGTTTTGAAAATCATTGATAGTTGCAAAACTGGGCTGATGGACTCCATAGAGTGGACTGGACGAAATCCTATTGGGAAGCCCAATGAATTTCGTCCAAGGGCTCTAAAGAGGGAATCCATGTGCTGCTTGTTGCCTAAGCAAGGTATTAGGGTTTCCACCTGAAAACCCTAGCAGACACAGCTATTTAAAGACCCTTAACCTAAGGATTTCGGTTCTATGCATTCTAAGAAGAACCCTGGCGGAAAATCCACCTCTCTCCAAGTTATTCTTTGCACTGAGTGTTTGTGACTCCATTAGAGGTGCAATACTTGGGGCACTAAGCTTTCAAGAGTCAAGGACTTCAAGGATTGTCTTGTTATTACAATATAACAAGTGAGGTAATCATCAACCCCTAGTTTTATACATGTTTTTCGAAAATTGTATGCTAGTTCATAGGGTTATTGCTTTGGAGTTTGTATTTGCATGTTCAATAGAGAAAAACTTAGATCCAAAGCAATTAGGGTTGCATGTACACCATAGGATTGTTGTAATGCTCAAAACCCATCAAAACCTCCTTAAGTAATCATGCATAATTATTATCATCATTTAAGAGCATATTACTTCTCAAGTTACTCATTATGTAAACATGCAAATTAGTTCTTACAAATTAACCATTTTACATCAACATACAGTATCATGCATATATCATCATTATAGCATATCATTTCACTATCATGCTTTGTCCTAATCATCATAGACAAATAATTTTCAGAAATCACAACATGCATTCATCATTCACAATCAACACAAACCCTCTTTCTAGCATGAACATAACACGCCCCTCACTTCAAATATCATATAATGAAGTATAGCATGAAATGCAATCTAAACTTCAAATCACAGACAAATACTACATACATAGCATACAAATCAACCTTAATAGGGTACATGCATCCTACAACATTCTAGGTTCATTCCAGTCGCTCTAAAATATGGAATTTCCTAACAAAGTACTTAGATTTCCACAAGGATTGACTCACCTTAACCTTGATGAATGGCTTCGTTCACTTCAAGTGTTGCACTTATTTGAAATTGTCTAAACCTCCCCTAAAATCACACATAACAAGCAGTATCAAGTGAATATTAATAATACAACCTTGACTACAATTCGTGTTACTTTGCTGAGTTTTAGGATTTTCCCAGCCAAACCCTTATTTAGCATTTTGAGCGTAAAACATAATCTACAACTCCAAACAGGATGTTATCAAATTTTCTGGAAACTAAACTCCATTTCCCAACACTTTGTTCTTGTGGTTTCTTTCTCTAATTCGGTACAGAATGGCCTCTATAGCCCTCATAAGACAGGTCTACAATTTTGTCCAAATTTCAAACTTTTGCCAAAAATCATCGTATTTGTGCATAAACTCAACAATTACAAATCATATTGAACCAAAAAGTAAAAATGAGTTGAGAAATATGTTCTTACCTCCTATAACTTCAAATGATACAAGGGAACAAGATGGAGAGAAGATGCCAATCACTACACCACAAAAATCCTTAAAACATGAAACTCTTCACTTGAATCACACTTGTTTAATAGAAAATGAACCTCACAAGAACACACTCCAAATAGATAATGTTGGTTGAAAATAGGGTTACAAACTCGGATTCTAGGGTTAGCCTCAATAAAATGCCTTATAACTTCCATAATTGTCCATCGAAGTATCACAAAATGACTCCTAGACCCATATACATGATAAAGGTTCATTTTATTACACTTTGGCCCTCCAAATATAACTTTTAAACAAATGAAAATGTTAGTTTAAGAATAAAAATTAACGAAACACTAACATCAATGATAGATAGAAATTCGGGTCGTTACACACTGGTCACGCCGTGAACACTAGGCGACAAAATAGTCGTGAAACCCTTGAAATCGCACCAAGACTCTAAGTCTGTCGCACCATGAATCCCGACTTAATAGCCAACTTTTACCTAAGGTCTTAACCCTCTAATATTTGAATTCTAGCCTTTCAGGTCACATCAAAATATGGTTTTAAGGGATAAAGTTCTAGAGTTTATCGATTTGTATGCCTTCGGTACCAAGATCTCCTAACCTATGTCAAATGGGACCAAAATGAACCCATGACTTTGCATGACACCAAATGAAAGATCAAAATCATCTCTAAGTGTCACAAATGGTCCAAAAGACCCTAATATTCAACCTTTGGGTTTGGAGTTTTCCAAACTCCACCCAAAAAACAAGAAAGGACCAAAACCAAGCTAATAACCTAGATCTATCATTCAAAAAGCATAAAAAAAACATGGATCTTGAATACTTACAGAGGTCAAAAGCAAGGGAAAAAGGTTGATGCTTGTTGTATCTAATTTAAACAACACCTACTTGAACCACAAAACACCTTCAAGCTTCACCAAAAGGATAAAATAAACTCAAGAACACAAAGGGATGCTAAAGTTTGCAAATAGGGATGTTTCTGAGAGTGGATGCTGCTCAAATGAGGAAACCCTCAGGACTGAAGCCTTTGAATAGGGCCCAAAAGCCAAGAATTATGGTTTCTCCATTTAGCAATGTCGCACCATTTGTCACAAGACTCGCGATGTGATTTCATTTAACTATAGCGTCGCGACAAACCCCAGATCATGTCGCGCACCTGCCAAAAACTCAAATAAGGAATCAAATGTTACATTTACACTTACCTTCTTCTTCTTCTTTGTGATTGCCATAATGTCACTTGTGTTCCTTCATTTCCTTCTATCTTCGTCATCACCATTCACTGCCACGAAGTAAGAAGCTGTTAAAGTAAGTTCATTTTATCATTCTTTCTTCCTAGTTTGTTCTATCAAATGTTACTGTCTGTCATTATCTATGAACCACAATTGACAAGATTGTTATTTTGAAACTATGATTTTGTTATTATTGGGGTTTATATCTGCATTTCAAAAAGTGATTGGTGGGAAACGGGTTGTGTCTATTTTTCATTTTTTTCCCTTCAAGCATCGATATTGTTTCCTGTAAAAATTAACGAAAACCCAAGACGATATTTGTATAACTTCGAAAGGGTATTTGTATATTAATTTTTGACAAACAAAAAGTAATAAATGTTTGTTTGTTATGTAACGAGATAGACTAATTTGTAGATTCAATTTTTTCAATGCATTTTTAATATTACTGTTTGTCTACTGCTTGAATGGATTAGTCTTTTCAAATAGATCCCAAATTGTAACAAATGTGGTGATTAATTGGATAGTTTTTTAAAATCCTAAATTGTATTGTGGTCGGTCGTGGTGGTTATTTTTAATAACCTAATAAGAAATTTTAGGTGGTAATATGTACATTTCTTATTTATAATTTATAGCATTTTTGGGGGTAATCCATGATCTAATATCCAAATTACCAACACATTATTATCTGAATTTTAATACAGTTTGGTTATCAATTTTTTTTTATATAAAATAATATCTTAACTATTTGACATGAATCACAAAAATTATACCTGATCAACACTCCTAAAATATATCATTTATGTTTGATAAAAACGAAATGTCGGATGAAATTCAATTTATTTCTTTCAATTGATTCAAGCATCCTGTCAATCTTAATAATCTTAATTAGAATATTTAGTGTTATTTTCCTCTTAATGTTTTTAATACTTGTATTAATATTTTGTAATTGTTACCGGCACCTTATTACTAGTTGCCTTACTTTTGTTTTTAATAATATCTACTCTTAAAACAATTAATGTTTAACCATTTAAATTTTAATAATCTTAATTAGAATATTTAGTGTTATTTTCCTCTTAATGTTTTTAATACTTGTATTAATATTTTGTAATTGTTATCGGCACCTTATTACTAGTTGCCTTGCTTTTGTTTTTAATAAAATATCTACCTCTTAGGCCATCTGCAATGTTTGTCACGAGCAACGTAACCACGGAGACCAACACGAAGCACGAACCGATGGTGGTGTACCAGTGACGAGCACGAACGGAAAGAGAGGAAGAAGAAGAAGAGGGTCGACTGAGAGAGACAACTCTGTGGTCCTCCGTCTTCCCCACCACGAATCACCACGACCACGAAGGTCCGGCATGGTGTGCACGGACAACGCTCGTGACCACGTAGACCACGAACCCCTTCGTTACCGGTATACCAGACGACCTTAAAACAATTAATGTTTAACCACTTAAATTTCTCACAGCATAGGTTTTTTATTTGATGAGAGTAAACACGCCAATACTGACCGATACATAACAGATCCAATCTGATTTTTGGGTAGCTCTAGCCAAATGACATTACACCATTTGGTGATCTCTATTTATTTTTACTTTATTTTTTATTTATTTGAGGAACCATTTAATTCTTACCAACTACTCCACTAGTCCACTGGTCACATGGACACTCAACTTACGGCGTGTAATACGTAGTCCCTACCAAAAATTTGAATTCAAAACCAAACCCTAAAACCCTCTCTTCTTGCCCCCCATTACTAACTTCTGAAAACCCTAGAGCCTCTCATTTTCGATCTCAGTACCAAACCCTAATCCATGGCGAAAAAGAAAACAAAACAACAATCCGAAGAAAACAAATCGCCCACAACCGAACATGAAATCCCTCGCCAAACTAATGAAGACGCTGCTTCTGAGAAACTCGACAGCTTGAAATCGCTAAATGCTATGTTGCTCAAAGAGACTGTCGAGCGCCGTCAACAGGTGGATTCGCTTACACAGATTAACTGCTCTCTGGAATCTGAACTGAATCGGTGTAAATCCGACAAGGTTTCGTTGCAGTCTGAGTTGAGCGGGTTAACTGAACGAACAGTGACGTTAGAGATCGAGAAGGAATCGGTTTCTAAGGTTGTTGCTTTGCAGTTGGATGAAATGACGGAGGTTAGTCGTAGGGAGAAGGCTGCAATGGAGGAGAAAATCGGAGGTTTGGAGAGAGAAATGAGTCGGCTTTTGGAGGAGAAAAATGCCATTGAGAAAACGAAGAAATCGAAGGAATCAGAAATTGGTTCTCTGAACGCCAGATTGAATACACTTGTGACTCAGATCGGTGAAGAGAATGTCGCTTTGTCAAAGATTTGTGAGGAAAGAGATGGAATCAGAGCACAGCTCCATGATCGGATTCAATACGAGAAAGGGTTGAGATCCAAACTAACTGAAGCAGAGAAGAGGGAGGCAGAGATTACTGAAAATTCCCAAAAAAGTTAAGGCTGCTTACCTTGGTTTAATCGAGGAGAAGAAATCACTTGAAAGAAAGGTGGATTCAATCCTGAAAGAAAAAGATCTGGTTGAAATGAATTTGGTTGAATCAAATCGTTTAGTTGATGTTTTGAAGAGAGATATTGAGAAGATGATGAAAGAGAAGATGGAGATTGATGACGATAGAGATGTTCAAGAGAGAAAGAAAAACGAGTTACATGTTTCTGTTCATAGGCTGAATGAATTGGTCTATAAGCTTAAAAAAGGGGGAAGAACAATTGCTTATGAAAGTTGCTGATTTGGAGAACAGACACGCCATGGATTCTGAAAAGGAAGCCAAAATGAGTATAGAGATCAATATCCTGGTGCAAGAAAAACAAGAATTGGAGGCAAGTATTCAAAAACTGACTCAAGAAAAGTGTTTGGTCTCCAAAAATTTGCAGGAGGCTTTGAAGATGATAGAACACCAGAAACTCACAATCAACCAAATGTTAGAAGAGAAAGCAAAGATCGAAGAACAGTCTAACAAATTCAAGAACACAATCGCAACACTTGAGAACTCCAACAAGATTCAAATCGATAAAATCAAGCAACTAGAGTCTGAAATCAACAACCACAAATCTGCATTCGATCGAGCCACAACTGAATCGAAAAATACTCGAGCCAAGCTTGATGAAGAAAAACTCAAATTGAAGAATTCAAATGAAAAGATTTCCAAAATGGAAAAGGGTGTTGAAGAAACACGCAAGAAACTTTCAAAGATGACAACAGAAACTGAAAAACTCGTTGCAGAAAAGAACAAGTTAGCAGAATCGCTTGCCAAAACCCAAAAGGAACATGATGACACAAAAGCCAAACTAAAACTATCCGAAGGTAAAAAGAATCAAATCTTGAAGATCTTGAAAACCACCAATGTGATTCGTAGCTCAAAGGAAGATGACAACATGGGTATTGATCAAGAAATCAAGAATCATGTAACAGAAACTGAAGCAATGAAGAAAGCATTCAAGGACAAAGAGACTAATGTGGAAGAATTGAAGAAGCAACTGGAATTGGTTAACAAAGGAAAGAGTTTCTGGACAATGGTGTCATCTGCAACCACTGTTCTAGCTGCTATTTCTTTAGCTTATGTTGCTCGAAGCTGCTGAATCAATGGTGGATTTTGCTGAATCAATGGTGGATTTTGCTAATCCCAACAGGTTAACATCTTTTTACAGTGTTGTTAGTTAATGGGTTAATCACACTTTTGAATTTTAACTCGTTTTACCAGGTTTAATCTGTGTTCTTGTTAGGATCACAATAATGGAAGATGGGGTAATTTTGTGGTTTTGAACAAAATTTATCAAATGTTCCAGTGTTGGACAATTGTACTAATTGCAACAATTTTTGGATTGCTAATGCTATGGTGATTTTGACATAGGCCTTTGGTGTTTTTCTTTAATACTTTGTGCAATGAACATTTAGTTCTCTTAAATACTTGAAATACAAATATCAAAATAGTAACAAGTATCTAAATACCATAGTGGAAATACAATCAATTCCTCTAATTACATATGGTGTTGATGATATTAGTGCATAAATTTCCCTATGATGGAAATTAAGGTATGTTGGAATTGGAAGTATATTGTTATTTTTATCAATTGGGACATAATTGTTATGTTTTTGGAAATTTAGCTAACTTTAACAATTACTCATTTTTTGGGGATCAATTGATTCGGAAGTATCAATTTTTGGAAATTTTTGAAGGAACTAAATATTGGGGCTAAATTGGAAGTTCATGGTTTAAAAGACAGAAAACCCCCTCTTTTGATCATATTTGGTCATTTGTGAGAAGAGAGAGATGAGATGATGAACTTTTGTGTAAATTGAGATGGATGGATCTCTAATTTCGGATTAGCAATCAAAATGTTGCATAACTGTAACACTTCATATACAGACAATTTGAACTTCATTTAATTAATGATATAAAAATATTTGAAAATGTTTATGGATAAGGTCCTAATATTAAAGTCTTAGGAGTTAAATTAAATTTTATATTTGAGGTGTGTGAAAGTGTAAAACCAATAGACAGTGGTTCGATTACAGTATTACACACTGCGTCGACTTCATAATCCAAAAGTCTTATAAATATCCTTACGTTCTCCATGTTCTAAGTTTTCAAGTAAACTTTAAATTTGGACAAATCAAAATAATGTTAGATTTGGGAAACATATTGAGCATTATCGGAATCTAAACATTATAGTAGTGTATGAAGGTTAATATCAAGCATACACAATGTAAAACTCCATAAAAATCATTTAAAACTCGTTAGGTTTTATAAACCTATGATTTGGGGAAAGTCATTGCAATAAACAAAATACATTGTTGAAACCATTAACTTTGAATAAACATCATACGTAGAATAATGTAAAGTATGCAATGCATGATTTGGAACTAACCAGCAACCTCATGTCCTCTACTTTCACAACACAAAAGCCCTTCATCTCTAAGGGACATCCCAATGAAAGTATGGGGAAATATAGTAACCCCAAAACATAAACAAGATACTAGCATCGCACTAAAAAAACATTTTAGAGGCATCAATCAAAGATTTTGGTAACATGCGATCATCATGCATGAAACCATGAAATACATTTGCAAAGTCTATCCCTCGTGAAAAGTTAAAATGTCGATCACTACTTGAAACAGGTTAGAATCATAAGTTTTAATGTGTCTGGACAGCACAAGTCTCTAACCCCGTATAAATTGATGCACATGATTGTGACATCCCGACTTTTATAAACTTTATACAAATCATTATGGATAGTAATTTATCCACATATAAGTTAGGTTTGAGAGTTATTCACATACCCTAGTTATGGGCTTTATAGTGAGACACTATTTATTAGCTAAGTCCAAACACTTAGCATACTCACACTACTATAATCGTTAATCCTCGGAGCGAGATACGTATGTATAGATCTATACGAGGTTGACATCCCCACCTGTGGTTGCTATCTACAACCTCGGCCGATCAATCGAAGCGGGTGATAAGTATCTACAATCGTTACTACGACGTACAATGAAGCGTTGTAAGGGGTACATTCAGTCACATAGCTCGGTTATAGGACTCGCTATAAACATTAACTAAAATCTTTTCTCTCTCTCTCTCTCTCTCTCTCTCTCTTTCTCTCACTCTCACTCTCACTCTCACTCACTATAAAACCATGGATTTGTTTCTCTCAGAACAGTTTTAAGTATGGATTTACTTATGCAAAGACATCTTTTGGTTTTCAATGGTTATTCAAAGACTCTTTACAAACACAGTTTTAATTGTGGATTTACTTATGCAAAGACATCTTTTGGTTTTCAATGGTTATTTAAGGACTCTTTACAAACACAATTTTAAGTATGAATTTACTTATGCGAAGACATCTTTTGGTTTTTCAATGGTTATTCAAAGACTCATTACAAACACAGTTTTAAGTATGGTTTTACTTACAAAGAAAATACTTTTTAGACTTTTTAAAAGTATCATTGTTGTTAGCAGAAAACCTGTAACTCTCACCAACCTTGTGTTGACCCTCAAAACTACATGTATTCTCACGGAATCTGTAATCGAGCAATTCAAACGACGGATTAGTCATGGATTTCATGTACTATACTATTATCTGTAAGAACCATGTATTCAAACATTAAGATGAAATACAAATGTTGTTTTGTTTATCGTTGTACTTGTGCTATATATTCAGTTTACATGTGATCCATGAACTAAGTCGCACAGTCCGACATGTTCCGCCGCCTCGGCCGGGGGTGTGACAGATTGGTATCAGAGCTAAATTGGCTATAGAGAACTCGTATCCTCAAAAGATGAATACAACTATAGCAACAGACTACTAATAAAAGTATTATTATTAATTACCCTATTTCTTGACTATTTATGGGAGAGGTAACTGGTTTGAAGGGTCGCTTGGGTTGCTGGATTTCAGAATAGCTATATGCTAAAATGATCCTGCTCTCCGGTGCTTCTTGTTTGGCCCTCATCTGTACTTGGTAGTCTTTGAGTACAAAACATAAACTAATAATATTGCAAACCTCACCAATCCTAAACATATAAGAGTTATATATACTCTGACCCGCAATGAGAACACTTAATAAAATTCTAACATACCTCCAACTAAAACTACCAACTCAACCCTTTATGTTAAATGCCTCAACTAAGGTTAGTACCATACATAAGCCATACCACAAATAAACCTGGAACGCACACATATGTTATTTATGGTCGGGTCAGCACACAACCAACCTTGAGCAAGGAGTTTGACAGACTACAATGGTTGAGAGTTTTTGTAACATTTGCATTTCAAGTATCTTTCCTTTTTTTCCCTTAACTTGAAAATCATTGCATTTTGGTCCCTGGCCGAGTACGCTGGGCGTACTGGGTCGATATCTTGATCGCGGAGGCATTCACGTACGTGGGGCGTATGTGGAGTACGCTGGGCGTACGGTCACCTGCGACAAACCCTAATTTTTAGGGTTTGAGCCATATTTAAATGCCTTAAGTTGCCCTTGGACCTTTTTATGACCAGCCTCCACCTCTCCAAACCGTGAGAACGAAACCCTAATTACCATTTGATTGTTTTGAGCTTGGAAGTGACCTTTGAAGGTGTTTTTGGTGATCTTGAAGGAAGAAGAACTCTTGGAAGTTGCATTGGTGTGGTTAGAGCTTGTGGATCCATAACCATCACCAACTTGGAAAGCTTTTTGGAAGTATAAAGTGTTGGATCAGGTGTCTAAGCTCATAACTATAATTGGTATGTACTTGACTCGAGAGTAGCATGGTCCATTTGGGTTGCCTTCACCAGAACAATCTGATAGGATGGACGTTTGAGAAAGAGGCTATTTGTGGTTTATTAATATATTATAAGTATAATATACTAATCGAGGAATCATATTATTTAATTAGTATTGATCAAGAATTAATTTGGAATTAATTTAGTGATAAAAAAAGACTGATTAAATATATGGGGACTGATTATGTAAATCAACAATCCTTATTGTTGGGCTAAAGATCCATGGTTGGTTAGGGTGGGCTAAACATATGTGATAGTCCATAAGGTTTAACCCATGTAACCCATGAGATATCCATGAGATATGAAGATACATGTGAATTAGGGTTTACATGGATGTAACCCTAGACTTTGCCACACTATAAAAGGACCCCATAATCACCAAAATCGGCACTACTGCAACCCCAAGCATTTCCAAGAAGAGTATAGCCGATTTTGGAGTGTCTAGCCTCTCTCTCAAAGTCTTCCTTTGTTCATGGTGTTTGTGAACCATTTGAGGCATCACACTTGAGGTGCTAAGCTCTTGAAGGCCAAGAACTCTAATCTACACTAAGAGGTATTCATCCACCTTGGTTTTATGTTGTATATATCCAAGTTTTGTATGCTAGTGTATGCTTTATGCTTTGGATAATCTTGCATGTATAGTAGTGAAAACTTAGATCCAAAGCATATAGGGTTGCATGTGCACCATAGGGGTGTTATAGTGCTCAAAACCCAACAGTGATATCAAAGCTTAGGGTAGTTTTCTATTATATTTGATGCTTGGTTATTTTTCAAAGCTGAAAAAATCGATTTTCTGGCCACTGCCTGATGAACTCGACGAGTCCATAGATGGACTCGATGAGTTGGTTGGGTTTTGCCTTGAACTCGACGAGTCCAAAGCCTGGCTCGATGAGTTGGGCAGTCTGGTTGTAGAATTTCGAGGTTTTTGGCCTAGATTGGATTAGAATCGCTACCACAAACTTTTGTATCATTAAACCTGATTTTTCTGATATGGTAGTGATCATACTCATCCAATCAAAAGATAATTGTCAAAGTTTTAAGATAACTGTTGATTTATATGATAAACAAAGTTACTTGTAAATTGTTGATATAAATTATCTTGCTTTATGAGTTTAGTTAGATCAATCATGAATTATATGATAATTTTATTTGTTGAAATTGATCTATATGTTTTAATGAGTTCCATAACTTGTCCTCAAGTTATGGAACATGAAAAGTCTTATCCATTAAAAAGACATTAAACTCATAAGTTATGGAAATGAAGGGTTCTTGAAAAGTTTCAAAACTGGCCCTCAAGTTTTGGAATTTGAAAAGGT